TATGTTGATTGATGTGTGTGTGTGTTTACATATATAGTTTTGGTCCGCTACTAGTAGTCTAGCACGTTTATACAGAGTTGATTCGTCGGCTTAGTTTCGACGCCATTCAGCGCACATCGCGAGTGGTGAGTATGCATGCACCTGCGATTCCTTACTTATTCACACACACGGCTCAGGTGTATAGTATATAACCTATACAAACAGTGCAATGACTCCCTATTTATATGCAGATGGGCTGTGATACTTATATTGGTTCTGCGCATACGTTTTACAATTTTTAATTCATCGACAAGCGATATGCTAATCACATGGCCCTAACTGCATTCGCATCAACCTATCAATCCAGACACCTGCCCACCTAAACAACAGAGCAACCCACTACACAACAAAAAAAACCCCATCATAACCTAGTAAACCCTAAACCCTAGATACCCTAGATATACCCCAACGTATCTCAGGCGTATTCAGTACCTTTCCATACGCTACCAGGAGGGGTAACGCGCACATCACCGTCTGGTATGCACATCAGAGGGCAGTCGCATATGTTGCTGGTGGGTGATCCGGGGACAGGAAAGTCTCAGTTCCTTAAGTACTGCTCCAAACTCGTACCCCGTTCTATAGTGACCACAGGTATAACCGTAGTGGTGTGGTGCGTTTGTTTTTAGCTACATACCAGGATTGCTGCCTTATCGTAGTTCTATGACATACGATGCGCATGTTAATGTATGAAAGTATATATAGATATGTAATTGTAATTGTGATTATACATATATATATAGGTGTGTGTGTGTGTGTGTGTGTGTGTATGTATGTATGTATGTCTGTATGTATGTATGTATGTATGTATGTATATATGTATTTGCGTATATATATATATATGTTTGTATATTAGTATATATATATGTGTGTGTGTGTAGCACTGACGATCTCACAATAGTCGTTGAAGCCACGAATGCAAAGCTCATCCTGGCAACTTTGCAGTTTGCGTGCACACACAAACAACACATCGCTAAACACCAACCTGGAGACACTACCACGGAACGTTCACTCAGAGTCATTCCACGGATCACCTATGAGTGACCAATATTAAATCGCATCTCACCTCGCCTAGTGTGTTTCATTCTCATATTAGACTGCCCATCCATCACCACACCAGTGCATATACGCATCATCCGATATCTTCTCCCAATCCTAACGTTTACCATAACCGATATACGCATCATCCGATATCTTCTCCCAATCCTAACGTTAACCATAACCTATACACGCATCATTCTATATCTTCTCCCAATCCTAACGTTTACCATCACCTATATACGCATCATCCGATATCTTCTCCCAATCCTAACGTTAACCATAACCTATACACGCATCATTATATATCTTCTCCCAATCCTAACGTTTACCATAACTTATGCACGCATCGCAGGCGCTGGTACCACTAGTGCAGGGTTGACTGTGGCGGCCGTGAAGGATGGAGCTGAGTGGTCGCTAGAGGCGGGTGCGCTTGTGCTTGCGGATGGGGGTATCTGTTGCATCGACGAGTTTGCCAGCGTGCGCGAGGCCGATAGAGCGACTATACACGAGGCTATGGAACAGCAGACGATCAGTGTGGCAAAGGTAGGCATTGGTGGCTGGAATGGATGTGGAGTAAGATATATATATATATATATATATATATATATATATACATATATATATATATATATATATATATATTGATGTATAAGTATATATATATATATGTATATATATATGTGTGTGTGTGTGAGTGTGTGTGTGTGTGTATAGTGTTATATATAGTGTTATATATTCTCAAAACTCTTATATGATCTTTAACATTCTTATATCGTTATACAGATTGTTATCTCTGTATCACTATTTGTTGATCGACGATTTTTCCAGTTTGCGCGAGGCTGATAGGTCGAGTACAAACAAGACTATGGAATAGAAAACGTTCAGCTTGGCAAACGTATGCATATGAGTCGTAGGTGTGCCATCGTTATTAAGCCTTTGGTGTCTGCAATATCGACGAAGAGTGTCAGTTTGTGCGAGAGGGCCAGAAATGCTATAAACGTACATTTGTGCAGCGACAGACCTATAGTGTGAGGGGTGCACACATGTGTGGCATGCCAAGTGTGGTAGGTGTGTGTGGTAGCCAGTACCTGTCGTAGTGACCAGTTGTTAAAATGTGCCAGCGCTCCCAAAAAAACAACCCCCGGAACTAGAGAATAAGAGGTACTTAGTTCGGGGGGGGGGGGCAGATGTGCGCATGTATGCGCAAGTGCTTTCAATCAGCATCTGCTGCATTATCAGATTTTGTATCTAAGTGTTTGTGCGATCGAGCGTTGAATACAAAGCTGGGATGCGAGCGACTATGCTTGTGACGGCTCTATTGTCATTGCCGGCACCTTGCAAACAAATCTCTAAACCCTGAACCGTAAATCCCACAAATGCCACCAGGCGAATACGAACAGCTCCTATGAAATATATACAACAAATGACATACGAATAGCTTACTATGAAATATACACAACAAACGACATACGAATAGCTTACTATAGAATATATACAACAAACGACACACCTGCCTTCATAGTCTATGTTCCTTGTACGATATCACCTCGAACTCAGAGCGTGCACATCCCGTCCTTCTCACACACCCACCACAACAGGCCGGGATGGTGTGTAAGCTGAACACACGCGCTACAGTGCTGGCTGCGTGCAACCCCAAAGGTCCGTACGACGACAGCCAAGACCTGACTACAAACACAGCAATAGCCTCTCCGTTGTTGAGTCGGTTTGATATAGTGCTGGTGCTGCTGGACAGCCCCAACCGCGAATGGGATGACTATGTGTCGTCGCACATACTCGAGGGCATGATGAATATCGGTGAGTGAGGCCGCTTACGCATACACGTGTACACATACCTATGCGCATACGTATACACATATACACAACATAATCCTGTATATATACACGTATACACACACACATATATATTTATATATATACATATATATATATATATACGTATAAACATACTTATATATATATATATATACATATATATATATTTATATATATACGTATACACATGGATATATATATATATATATATATATATACGTATACGTATACGTATACGTATACATACAACCAAGTGTCTTCGTAATAGGCTAATCCGGGATAGGATCTGTAGGACAGTTTTAAACGTTGCCGGCCTGCCACTTGTCTCTGCTGATATATTCTTTGGGATATTGAGCTCAGAGCGGATTCGCTTCTCTTCAGATGGAACAATTTACGCTTTTCGTAGTTAACTGTTTGTGCGTTGGGTTCAGTAGGTAACTAGGCCTCCAGTTGCGCTTATTCTTCCTATTTGTGTGGTTACTTGTATTCTTTACTGCAGCATAGCATGGTCTTGCACTTGAGTGCTGCGATCGTATACCCAACCTATTCCAGTTGCTGTGGTATCCGCGTGTGTACAGCTACATATGTACCTCTCCCAGCACACATGCACGCGCATACATACATGACTTAGCCAGTGGATGAAACGGACAATTATTCGTTTTCCGTTGCTTTTTTATGTATACGTTTATGTATCTCACCCAGCACACATGCACGTGCTTAGATACATGACTTAGCCAGTGGATGATACGGACGATTATTCGTTTTCCGTTGCTTTTTTATGTATACGTTTATGTATCTCACCTAGCACAATGCACGTGCATACATACATGACTTAGCAGTGGATGATACGGACGATTATTCGTTTTCCGTTGCTTTTTTTTGTATATGTTTATGTATCACACCCAGCACGCATGCACGTACATACATACATGACTTAGTCAGTGGATGATACTGACGATTATTCGTTTTCCGTTGCTTTTTTTTGTATACGTATATGTCAGAGGTCGCGAGCGGGGGTTGTATATCTGGTCTCTAAATGTGCGATCCATATTGGTTGTGCTTAAAAAGATTACCTTAGCATTGTGTTGAGGTTGTTCTAAAATACATCCATGTGTATTGTCGTTGTTGACCTCAGGTCGAGACATGGCAGATGAATCGCAAGACGAGGATTTGCCGCAGGTGTGTGGAGATCGCTTGCTTATACCTACCTCTGAGTAGTATATACCTACCTCTGAGTAGCTTATACCTACCTCTGAGTAGTTTATACCTTCCTTTGAGTAGTTTATACCTACCTCTGAGTAGTCCGTGAGAAGCCTTTGGCTGCATTGCTTAATTGTGTGCATTTGAACTATAGCGTCTTTGGCTGCCCTCATAATGTTCATATATGAGTTGTGTTGCCTGTTGTACCGAATTGGATGCTCTAGTCCACATTCCATTGCGTCCTTTTCCCTGTCCTTCTAGTCCCAAGTCTTGATGCCAGCAAAGAAACACTCACACCCCCGAGACACTAGTACCACACCCATCACCTGCACACACAGACTACATCACATGTGCACACACAGGCACACACCAGAAACACACTCGCTACCAGTATACACTCTGCTGCTGCAACTCGATAGGCGATGTGTGCGTCATGGACAAACAGACACGCAACACACAGTCACAAGACAGTATATAGAACACGCACACTATTGATGAGTAAATATTGCTGGGCCTGAACTCTGGGTACATCCCACCACGACAATGCCGTACTGGCAGGGTGTGCTGGTGGCATGCCGCTGTAGATACCATCTAGGGTTTAAGGTTTCGTATCGTATTAAATCACTGCAACCTGAGCTCCACCAATCAGACACGAGCTAATTCGCTCGAGAGGGACATATGACATGAAGCTGTACACAATGGGTGGTGTTGGTTATTGTTGGTGGTGCTAACTATTGTTATATATATATATATATGAAGGAGCCGATTTGGAGCCTTGAAAAGCTGCAGATATACGTGGCGATGGCCAAGTCACTGCATCCCAAGATATCACGCGAGGCAGAAACCATCCTGATAGCCTACTACCAGATACAGCGTCAGGTGATTGTCCCTGCCAAAAGTTAACGCGTACAGTACGTGATAAGCTTGGGTAGCAGCTTATGTGCACTATATGCGTACGAACCAACAACGGCTACCACGTGTTGAGAGTCTTATAATGACCTTTGTGTACATTGATGCAGGCGTAAGTTTTTAGGGTTTAGGGGTTTTAGGTTTTTAGGGTTTTAGAAAACAATGTGGCAGACCCAAAAGGTTTTGGTATATCAATGCCCACTTGAGTAATCTGAAGATACTGATAGGATAGAATGTTTTGTGCAACTCGCAGACTCTAACGTTTTAGATGCTGTTGTTATATAGTCCTACTTCCCTGTGTTGAGTTCTACTTTTTGTCCCACGTATACGAATGTATGTTCAACCTTAAGATGTAGCAGTTGTATAGTCCTACTTCCTTGTGTTATGTTCCACTAGTTGTCCGGTTTTAAGGTTTTAAGAAATGTTTGTTCAACCTTAAGACGCTGTAGTTATAAAGTCCTACTTCTCTGTGTTAGATTCCACTTTTTGTCCCACGCATACGAATGTATGTTCAACCTTTAGATCCAGTAGTTATATAGTCCTCATTCTCCTACGTAGTATGACTCATGGTATACACATCCAAAGTAGGCAACCCCATCGCACTCTAATTCCCTCTCCCACTGCCGGTAGCGTACAAACACGCTCACCGTGCGCGTGTGGTGTAACCATTCCCAGAGGTGTATCATACACTACCTCTCTGCGCCTGTGTGTTGGTCACCGCCTTAAACCCTAAAACCCTAGAAAGCGTGTTGGTCACCTAAACCCTAAAACCCCTGTGTACTCACGTCCTTATATCACCAGGCGGATCAACGCAACGCAGCACGCACTACGATTCGTTTGTTGGAGAGTATGGTACGACTGGCGCAGGCACACGCGCGTATCATGTTGAGAGAATGCGTCACACAACAGGTGTGTGTCTATTATATAGGGTGTTGTGTCTATTATATAGGGCGTGGTGTCTATTATATAGGGTGGAGTGTCTATTATATAGGGTGTAGTGTCTATTATATAGGGTGTAGTGCAGCGGCGTGTTTCTTTGGGTCGATGTTGGTTATTGGCAGGGACCTTATTCATCCAGTTGTGTAAACAAAATACCAACACTATCGTTCAGTGTCTTACGTCCTGGATGCCCTTCACGGACTGTGACTTGTTAATTAAATCACTACCGAAGCAAATACCACACAAGGACTGGAATTCGTTGATTTCAGCTACTATAAAGCACATGCGTCAATTAAACCATTATAAAGCATATACGTTAATTGAACTTATATAAAACATATACGTTGATTAAACTACTATAAAGGCAGATACGTTCATTAAACTACAATAAAGTAGATACGTTCATTAAACTAATATAAAGCAGATCCGTTCATTAAACTAACATAAAGGCAGATACGTTAATTAAACTACTATAAAGGCAGATACGTTCATTAAACTACAATAAAGCAGATACGTTCATTAAACTAATATAAAGCAGATCCGTTCATTAAACTAAGATAAAGGCAGATACGTTAATTAAACTACTATAAAGCGGATCCGTTCATTAAACTACTATAAAACAGATACGTTAATTAAACTAAAATAAAGGCAGATACGTTAATTAAACTACTATAAAGCATTTACGTTCATTAAACTACTTTAAAGGCAGATACGTTTATTAAACTACTATAAAGGCAGATACGTTAATTGAACTACTATAAAGGCAGATACGTTTATTAAACTACTATAAAGGCAGATACGTTAATTAAACAACTACAATTGCAGATACGTTCATTAAACTACTATAAAGGCAGATACATCATGGGCGAGGTCACATTAGACCGTTGCGCGCCTGCAGTGTACTAGCACATGACATGGCATGACATGGCATGACATGACATAGTGTCAAATGTCCCACTGAGCCCCACGTGCACGTCTCTGATATCTGTATTCTGGCTTAGTGTATTATTGCGTATCTGCACACATCTGCAACCCGCAGTGTATATGTGTATATCATGTGACTTTCCAGTTGTATTATAGATAAGTATAAATCATGTGACTTCCCAGTTTTAATATATA